CTTGTCACCTACCTATCGCCTACTATCCTAATCTCCCGAATCGCGAACTATGAACGCGGCCTAAGAGCCGCAGGGCAGAATGGGTGGCCCCGTCCAACTACAGTTTCGCCCTTAGACGGTCTTTTAAATCAAGTTTCGTAGATTATAGTTCTCAAACAGGTCCGCTTTCGGCCGTTGGGCTCGTCTTCTCCATGCCGAGAATTCAAGAGGAGAGGAGTTGAAGACTAGTCTAATATTATAAAAATGTTCAATTGGACATTAATTGAACACGCGATTCAGTGCACAGGCCTATCAGACGCAGAAAAAGCTCTGCTTTCTGAATGAGCGTGATTGCTGCGTGACGCACCTCGAAAAAGCTGATGAGCGCTCGAGATTTCCTTCTTTGATTCTTGCTTCCTTTTCTTTACTTCGTGTCTCTTTCTCTCTAGAGCCGTTTGCTTAATTAAAGTCAAAGTCCGAGATTTTCTGGTCGAAATTGAGCTTCCCCCAAATGAATGTGCAGCGATACGCAAGCAGGAAACCACGTCTCTTTCGAGATGATATGACAAGACCGAGGCGCTAATAAGGCCCTAGCATGCAGCATTGGCCTCGCCCAACACCATTGAGTTCCGCCCATAAATCAGTGCTATTTGGCTTTGCTGCTGCTGAAGAGAGGGTTTCATTTCCGGCTTTTCCGAAGGTTTCTTCCCATCCATTACTGGTGGTGCACCTCGTATCTCCACTTGTAAGCATCAGTTGATCCGAAACATTGCCTTCAACCGGCTGAGGATGGGAAATGAAGGCGATCTTTCCGTTGGTCACGCTCAGTGCTAAGATTCGTCATCCTCGTTTGTTTCGTCATTGAATTGCATACATCATACTCAGGAACGGAATGATCCTCCTCATCCAGATGAATAACTGCAAATGAAGCGGGGGCCGTGAAAAGTGACGGCATGCTCATCATCATCATCCCACAAGCCAACGGGAAAGCAAACAAATGGGGCGCTACGAAGTTGTCCCTCTTTCCTTTCCGTCTATCATTACAAGGAAGGAGAGAAAAATCTGGGATTTCCTCTAACTCAATTCATAAACCATTCCCTCCGGCATGCGCCATGCATGCGCCTCCTCTCTGATAAAAATGCGCTTGAATCTCGTGAAAACATATTTGACCTTATCAAGAATTGATTTCAGTATCCGATTACCTCCAATAAATTCGCTGTTGGCGCCCCTGTTGAGGAGCATTCTAAGCAGAGCATTTGGACACCGCTGCTAGGTGACACTAGGAGCAAGCCCAGGGGGGGAACGCCAGAGAGAAGAAAGGTTGCTCACATCCTTTCCTAGATTTCCCTAATACTCAGTAACAAGCTCTGTAAGTGGCCCACTCGCTTCAATGTCTCCCCTTGCGCCTCTGCATGAGCGCCCCGGTGATATAAGTTAGTCGTGAAAATCCGAATAGCTCGACGGCGTACTCCGTCCGTGATCGTACACTGGTGTGCAAAACTTAAGGACGAACGTAGTTTTACCAAGCCGTGTTACTGGCGAGTAACATAGCGCTGTGGAACCTAACCACACATGGAAAGAGCTGCTACAGCGCAGTACAGAAAGCAATCAACAGGAACCTTTGAACGGCCCACAGAGCTATCCAGTAAGTGCATACTCGTCAGTCCGATGACGTCGTACTTGATCTTCCTGGCCTGCATCATCAGATCTTCGATGTGAGCTTCGGATGCAAGCGTTCGTGCGTTGAAAGTACAGATCGCCATCTTAGTCCTTCTTCGTTTAGGCAGCCTATCCGGGCCCTGAGATTCTAGCAGCCTCTCCCGAGCGGTCCTACCCAACGCTGCCGTATTGGGGGCTCCCTCAGGTTCAGGGGAATGAGGCCCATCCATATTGCTTGTCTTATGTTTGTTGCATCCACTGGTACGTAGCTGCGCCTCTGACACGTCTGTAGGCTACAATCCTTTTTGGCAGTCGTTTATGCAATACTCTACCTTTATGCTGGTCTTTCAAAGCTTTCCTCATGTTCTCAGCGTCGTCTTGGGTTAGTGCAATGATACGCCCTCTGCTGATATTTCGTTCGCTTGATTCTTTCGCGCGCAATCGGGACGGCGCTTGTTATCGGGGGAAATCTGTGTTCTGAATCAGATTTGTTCAGATTTCAATCGAAGCCCAATGTCTGTATGCGGTGTGCGGCACGAGCCTGTCTTCTAGGAACGTGCATTCTTATAGCTATTATTTATTTTTGCTGTACATGCGGCTAATTCGAAAATTACCGAGACGTGGGATGAGAACGGTATGTGCTTTCCTTTCCTTCAATCGAAATACTTATCAATTCATATTTCGACCCATTTTTTCGCTTTCATTTAGGGCGGAAGTGGTGTAGTGACAAGTGGCGCGCTTACCACGCGAGCGGTCCGGGGATCAAATCCTGGGTCGTGAGTCGCCCGGGCCAACCAAGCCTTCCATCCCTCCGGGGTCGGTTAATTGGTACCAGACTTGCTGGGAGGATAAAAAAACTGATCATGTTAGCCCACCAAGCCGATTGTATTAGCAAATCGCATTTCAGAGCGTCACCACGATTTGGAGGTGAAAGTAGACGTGCGCGCGCATCCCAAAAAGGTTTTTCAACGCCGAGATGCTTTGTTCCCTTTAAGGTCCTAGTCGATACTTCCACCTTCAAGAACTGTTTCTGTATTTTGTGGCCTGAGTCATGTAATAGCTTATGGTGAAAATGGTGGCTGTTCCCTTTCATTTCGCAAATCAAATCTCGTCCAGCATATACGGCTGATATCCCCCAGCTCCGTAGGAAACATAACGCCAGAAATCGGAATGCTAACACTCTGCCCCGCCATAAATCAGTCCACAGGAAAAAGTCCCCTTGATAGCTTAAGATAGATATTCGCAGGCTCGCGGAGAATGAAGTGAGAGGTATTGCTTACATGTGTGAGGTTCTTAGTTATAGTTTGGGGGTCAAAAACGATCATTGAGTGGAAATGAAATGAAAGTAAAGAAATTGCCTACAGGTGAGAGGTTCTTAGTCCCGTTGGGGGTCAAAAACGATCATCGATCGGCGTGGCTTGCTCATTCTTCGCGGCAACCTTCCATCACTGTAATTGATGTATTTCAGACGCTCTTGCTCGACATTTACTCGAAGGCTCGGATACAGGTGCGGAAAAGCCGGGTGGTGGTGGCGGTGGTGTCCCACCGGGGAATCCCTCAGTGTCCGCCTCGGTTGCTATTGTAATTGTCATATCACTTGTTAGCGTATCACTTCTAATTACCGGTGAGTTCGTTTGCTTTTTTGTATTTTAGTTTCCTGATTTCGCGTTCTCCCATTTTCAATCAAATAGTTCTTTGTGCGTCGAGAAAAATGGCCCCCTATATAGACATGCGCCTGCACCTGAGAACTGTAGCCCATCTGGAAGCATCGCTCTTCTATGTCAACTCAAAACACCATTTCTCCAGCCCCCTCCTGACTTGATTTTCCATTATCAGTTTTATTTTCATTGTTCATCCGGGACGCTTGCTTCTTACCTTATTCGATTTTCTATTGTTAGAGCCACCGTCACCTCAGGAGCCACACAAGAGACAGCTTACGCAGAAAGGCCTTTCATCTGATGTACTCTGATTGAGGCCCTAGACGAAGCCGTTTAGCTCCTAAGATGCTGGCTGACAAAAAAGAGTTTCAAAGGTTTTCGCTGGTCTACCTGCTGCCAGGCAGTGTTTCGGACGAATACAAGTGCTGCGAAGTTCGATTCTCGCCTGTGACCAAAATTTTTGCCAGTTTTTCGCCGATTCAATTGGTGCGCAATAATGGTGCCAGTTGCTAAGGGTAGCGCTATTTTGTCCGAATCCGGGACAATTGCTCAATTTTTGTAACAGTTCTCGTACCCCTGAAGCTCATTACATGAAAGTTCCCCGTTTCTTATTCTAATCTAGTGTGAATGTACGCGTAACATAGACCCTGTATTTATTTGATTATGCGTATAAACAATGGTCGTAAATAAATAAAAAAAAAACAAATGAAAAAAATCAAATAATATAATGAACAGATGAACATTCCATAGCTTCCTCAAGTTCACGTAGCAATTTTGATGGACACATTTGTGACCAGCCTTCTACGATTTATCGGACTTTACGCTAGGTCCTCACCCGTGTGCAAGTTCATAGGGAAGTTCGAAGCCTTCCTGGTTACTGACGCCATAATTACAACACCCCAGGTGTGCGTCGTAGAAAAAAGCGGTAAACACTTGACAAGCTCAGGGATGGATTTCGCGCTTCCAGCAAATGAAATGTAGAGGTATATTTACCCATGTGAGAGGCTCCCAGTTACAGTGGGGGGAGGGGTGTATCGCAAAAACGATCATTCAGTGGTGATTATTTTATCGTTGCTCAACCCACCATCACTGAAATTGATGTTTTTTCAGACGCTCTTGCTCGACATTTACTCGAAGGCTCGGATACAGGTGCGGAAAAGCCGGGTGGTGGTGGTGGTGGTGTCCCACCGGGGAATCCCTCAGTGTCCGCCTCGGTTGCTATTGTAATTGTCATATCACTTGTTAGCGTATCACTTCTAATTACCGGTGAGTTCCTTTGCTTTTTTATTTTAGTTTCATGGATTTCGCGTTTTTTATTCGATCAAATGTTCATTGTGGTCGAGAAAAATCGCCCCCTATATAGTCATGCGCCTGCACCTTAGAACTGTAGCCCATCAGGAAACACCGCTCTCTAAGTCTAACTCAAGCCACCATTTCTCCACCTCCTCCCTCTCCTTAATTTCCATTCATATTTTTGATACCATTTTTCTTGATACTGCTTCTCGCTTGACGATTTTCTATGTTAGCAATCAGTCACATTCTGTAGGCCACACAAGGTCCGCTTACAAGGAAAGGCTTCTGATCCATGTAGGCTCCTGAATTTAGGCCGCTAGGTGAAGCAAGGCCTTAAATGCTGGCTACAAAAATGAATTTTCAAACTGCTGGCTGCTGCTGCCCGGCCGCCCCCCCCCCCGCCCCAGGAAGTGTTCGGATGAAAAGTAACACGAAAAAAAACAAATTGCTCGAGAGGTTCGAATTCCGCCTGATGACAAAATTTTTGCATTTCTTCTAGATGGGGACTTCAGTTTGGTGCCATATGGTGCCAGTGCTAAGGGTAGACGCTATAGTGTCCGTAATCGGGACAATTGGTCAATTTTTGTAAAGTTCCTCTTCCCCTGAAGCTCATTACATTGATTTCCCCTTTTATTCTATCTATTGTGAAATTGTCCGTTAACATAGACCTGTATTATTTGATTTATGCTGTAACAATGGTCGTAAATAAACAATAAAAAAACAAATAAAAAATCAAATAATTTAATAAATAAAATAAATACCATTCTAGTCTTCCAGTTCGAGCGGAGCAGTCTGATTGCCCAACATTGTGACCAGCCTTGCTAACAATTTATCGACTACTCTAAAGCCTGCAGTTCAAGTTCTCAATTAGGAAGTTGGAAGCCTTTCCTTGGTTAGTCCTTTGCTCGCCCCTCCTTGACCTTTTTTAGAAGTTTCACCGTTCCTGCTGTTTATGTATCACTAAGCAGGTGCCGGTCTTCTCGCGTTCCCTCTTTTTCGGCTCAGCTCCTAAGTTAATCAGCTATAGCCTACAGATGACCCTATCATTTCGTGCTTACAAGTTTGATGCTGATAATTATATCGCCGCGACATATATCCACTAAATACTTTCAAATTTAGATTCAGTAAAATTTTAGAATTTTCCATGATTTTTGGAAGTTACTGGCTCATAAACCTATTACAGGTATCATTATTGTTGCGGTGACGGTTGACCCATCGAGCGGAGATGACGAGTCGGACATCGAATGGGATAGCCCGAGGGTGGGTAGACGCGCTTTTGACTCGCTCGTTATGCCTCGTTTCATGGGATTACCCACATAGCAGAAAGTAAGAGTGCACCGCTGATAACAGTGACCTTAACAGTTAGTAGTAATATTTGGAGAACTTCATTTTGTTCACAGCGTTCGAATGAGTCAACCGAGCTGCTTTCCGACGAGCTCAAGGACAATGCGAATTTCTTCTATGCGGGTGAAATCTTCCACGAAGTGTGATCACATCCATCGTAACTTGCCTTACACAAAATTAGCTGGAAACTCATACCGACACATTCCCAGAAAGATGTAAACTGTACAGAATTGTATACGGTATCAGATATTCTATTCATTTTCATGACAAGCGCTCTTAAAGGTTGTGAAGTAGTTTATTATTATTCTTGGAATAGCCTTCATGTAACCTTCTTTCAACAAGTTGCTCTCCAACATAACCAGTATCGCTCTCATTTGAAATTTCTATTCTCTTTTTGTTAGGCATTCTGCTGAGAATAGGACCAGGGTGAAAATCGGTCGAGGATTTGTCGACGACTCGTCGAGGATTTTGCCTGTTCAGTCACGCTCTCCCGCGCGACATTCACTCTCGCCACGCGCGAGCCGTCTGTGCTCTCCGCGCGTACATTCACTCTCGACACTATTCTCACACAGTACAGAGCCATGGTCGAGGATTTCCTCGACCGTTTCACGCTGCT